AATAACTAGTACTATTTGTTAATTATTTCAAGAAGAAAAGTTTGTATTATTAATTTGGTATTCTTTGAAAATAATTCTTTCACGTCCTTCGGTCAAATTTCCATAACTTGGCGATAAAACTTATCTTTAACTAATAGCTGCAGGTTGCCCTTGGTTAATATGTAATAATTATTAATCACAATTACGTAATGGACTACAGAAATTTAAAAACAACCGCAAAATATTATTAATTCACATATAATAGTTATTTAATTTATTTGATTTATTAAAAATAATATATTACATGTACGACTATTTAGTAACCAAAATTATATAGTTTTGTGCTACATATAGCTGTATGGTGATCAATGTTTTTCGGGGACTAAATTCAATTTCCTGCCTCCAAAAAATAATTTTTATATAACAATTCTTATAATTTTTATAAATTTCTGGGGGATTAATCTCCTTATCCCACCACTCAACAACATTAGCGCTACAAATTTGTATGTTCATTAATAGATTACATTTTTTTTTAAATATTAAAAATTGAAATGAAACATAAAATTGATCGTCAGATATTCGTTACTTATTCAAGTAAAAACATACAAATAACTCCTATACAAAAAGGTTTTGCATTAAACTGTTATCCTAAATGACTCATTCAATGCATTACTTCATACTTTGTGATTTAAATATGAATAAATGAGTAAAACTATGCTGTTAGTTTGATTTTGTAAATATAACGGTAATATTTAACCTTAATTTTTTATAAACATTTGTAATAGCTATACTAAATAAAACTTCTATATTGTCTAAATAATTTCTTTAAGTGCCTAAAATTGAAGTTTTCTTCTAATGTTGTCAAATTTTAAACTATTTCCAATAATGCAATAGTCAACAACAATAAAAATACCTTCTCAGCTTCGCATCGACGTTAAAAGAAAAAGAAACTTGTAGATACACTCGAAAGTTGACATCATGTCCACATAAAATTATATACAAATATAAATAAAACACATAAATTATAAATGACTATGATTAGACTACACAATTGCATTTGAAAGAAGAGAAAATATGTACAGCAATATTTACTCCAGTATAGCTTTAGGCTCATGTTTCTCACAAATAATGGCAATATTAGTTTATTATATGCGCGCATGAGTAGTAGATA